AAATATATAAATAATAAAAATATTTTTAGTAATAAAATTTTATAAATATAGAAAATAGAATTTGATAATATTTTGCAATTTATAAAATAGTTTTATATTTTGATCTATCTAAACTATTATTTGAGAAGTGAATTTGTTTTCCGTCATCTTCTTCTTAATTTTTGGTTACTTTTTTTAAGGCTTGTGCATTTTATCTGGACCTCAAAAATTTGAACTGCAATCGACCGGAAAATATCCGACCAGAAACCAAACCAAAAATCTAGAAGTACCTATTGGGTCCAAAATCTCTACCTTAAAGAACTAGAACCAAAAAGAATCGATCCGAATAGACCTGGATCCGAAAAGAACCGATCCGAATATACCCAATCTTCTAAGACCGTTTTATACACGACTTAAAAAATGAATATCGAAAGCTATATTCATGCATGTGTTCGTTTATCTATATTTTAGTTATAGTTGAAATTTCTTTTTGTTATCAATCTTCATTATTATTTTAATAACATTTAAATCTCATTTTAGAGAGTAAAAATATTTATCTCAGTTATTAATAACTTAATATCGGTTATTTTACAAAATTTTAGAAAAGTATGATGAATTTTGGCTAAATATTGATTGGGTTTGGGTACTTCGGGTTTTTTCAGATTCTAAATACATGAACGCGACCCGGATCTATGGATTCAAAAATCACTAGTATTTTACTGATATTTTAATTATAGACATGATCCAAAACCAAACTAAAAAATTTTAAGTACCTATTGAGTCTAATGTCTAAGACGCGAAAGACACACACCCGAAAGGAACTGGCCCAAATCAAACCCGGAGACCCAAACGCCCATGCATTTTTGCTTATTTTCATATTCTCAATAAGTAATTTTGTTTATTTGTCATGTTTTCCATGATTTAATTAATTTTGCTTATTTTTCATGTTTTTTATTATTTATCATATTTTTAATTTGTTTAATTATTTTTTGCTAAATTAATAGTTTGAATAATCTAGTATTATTATTTGAACTGGTTTTTTATTATATTGTTTTGAGAAATTGTTTTGCTTATTTGTCACATTTTCATGATTTTAGGTAAATTTGGTTATTTGTTTTTTTCCCGTCTAGTAATATTAATTCAAGACATGAGTACAAGATTTGATACATAGGCTGATTCACAGCAACAAGAGCCCATGAACAGGCAACTTAAACCCATACCAGGGTGGCTTAAAGGAAACAGATACAACTCCACAACTAACTTAAGAAAAATCAATGGAACTCACAATGAACCTAGTACACCAAACTTGCAACAATCCAACAACTTCAAGTGCTTCTGAACGAGATTTATCGTTGTCGCCCATAGCCCACCGAACGATAACATCAACCTTTGACGACACCACACTGAGAGCACTCCTCTCTAAACCAACCAACCAGACTTTATAACCCGGCAAGATAGAACCACTCTAGGGTCACCTCATCTTCCAGATATGGCAGTGACGCACACTTTATGCGACCAAACTACACCTCCATAAAAGTCTTACACAAAAATCCCCATTCTCATTAGAACCGGAGAATCCGAGGTCAATCCGCCAAAAATTCACTGACAACTGAAAGATGCCGGCAGCATCAAGACAGGAAAGCGTTCACAACAGCAACATAACATAAAACAGTACAAGCTCAGGAACCAAGAATCCATTGGTAGAGCCACAATTTCCAAATAGATAAGGACTAAACACCAAGACTAAACCACTATAGCAACTTCCATGAAATAAAGGACAAGATTTAGATAAGAAGAACTTGAAAAGAACCCGGAATCAATGGAGGGATATATCTAGATCTGGATCCAAACATGTGAAATTAACACCAGCCACAGCCATGACTGCATGTACAACCTTTAGAAACGGATTCAGCAAGCAAAGGACGCATGGTAGATGCAACAAACCACTCCAAACCGTAAGTTCTCAAGCCCCTCAACCACCCAATCTTCACCAAACAGAAAACTAAAAAGAACAGAACGAAGAAGGAGAGAATCCACAACAGATCTGACCGGCGGTGGCGCTAATGGAGCCGCCACGCGCCGGTCACCGGAGCTGTTGTTGTTTTGAAGGTAAGGGAGACGAGAGCAGATGGGGATGAGCCAATTTGGTTATTTGTTATGTTGCAGTCGGTTATTTGTTATGTTGCAGTACTAGGTGGTGTGCCCGCCATGCGGGCATAATACTCTTACCAATACCAATAAAAATGATAAATTATTATTTATGCTTTCTCAAAAATAAATATTATTTATGTTCTCAAAAAGTGTAAATCAAATTATTTGTATATTGATGTCAATAAGAAATCAAATTATTTGTATATGATAATTTTTTTATCGAAATATATATTGTGCCCATATATTTTAGGTTGAAATTTAAATTAAAAACCCACATATTAGAAATATTTTAGAAAATATCATTATACAAATGTTATTGATTAAGTACTATTTAATTTAGATTATTTTATATTTTTATTTTTATTTTTCGTAGTAAAGTAATATTAATTTTAGATAACAGCACAATATCTATAAAATTTATCTTGTTTTTGTAATATGTATTTATTTTAACTATTATCATAGTAATTTATAATCAAATTTTAATTTTTGTAATAGAAAAAATATTATTTCAAGATAACAACACCATATCTATAAGAATTATCTTATTTTTGTAATATGTATTTATTTTGAAAATTATCATATTAATTTATAATCAATAATCTAATATAACATATAAATCTGATATTATTATTATAAATTTGTTTTTATTATATAATAAATTATATAAAATTCATTAAGTTGATGAACAATATTAATCCCTCTAACTTATTTTAGGGTAACAACAAAATATAAATAGAAATTATAATTTATTTTAACATATATTTTTAAAATTTTGGATAGTTCTCACTATTATTAATTTTAATCAATTATATAATTAAAAAAATAAATTTCATTTTTATTTGATGTCTAATTTATATAGTTTATTTCTTAAGGGCATAAACGATATTAACCACTCCAACTTTTAACGTGAGAGCTCTGTTGTGAAAAATCACTATTACGTATTTTAATCCATATATTACTAATTAAAAACTATAATGATAACTTATTGTTTAAGTTTTTGTTTTGGAATTATTACGTATTATAAATATTTTGAAATTTTATTTGGTACATTATATTTGTTATTAATAAATAAATAAATCTTAGAAATCACTCTATATTTTAAAAAAAAATATAATTATATAAAATTAAGAATTTTGACCTGGTTAATAATTTTATGTGTTTACTTTTGATTATTTAAATTTAATTTAAAAGATAGTATTTAGATAACAACACAATATATAGTAATTATCTTTTTTATTTAAAATATTTTTTATATATTGGATTATTTGAATTCTTTTGTATTTGTAATTTTTATATTAAAAGATATTTTAAGATAACAACACAATACATAGATGAATTATCTTTTTATTTTAAAATATATTGTTTTGATTTTGGATAATCATTACTAATTTTAATCACTTATCTAATTAAGAGAATTAAAATTCGTTTTTTATTTTCTGTATAATTTATATTTTTTCATTAAGGGTAGTATAGATATTAACCACTCTAACTTTTAACGTGAGAGCTCCGTTGCGAAAAATCACTTCGCAAATAATAGTATAGATTTTTGATTAATAATTTTGTTTATTTATCATATTTTTAATTATTGATAGCTAAATCATTAGATTGATTAATCTATATTCGCATTCGAGCTTTTAACGATATTAAACTGAATGACAAAACAAAACATATAGTAAAATCATCACGGGATAAATATCCTTTAATGATTTCTTCCTTAGATGATCATTATCAGTTTTTATGTTAGGGTTTTCTATAATATTATTTGAGAACTGTTTTTTATTTATTTTATTTGTCATGTTCTCTATGTTTTAGGTAATTTAATTTATTTTTCATATTTTAATTAGTTTTTAGCTGTGTCATTAATTTATTAATTAAATATTGTCATTATTTCAAACTTTGCAATTAGAATTATAGTTAATCTGATTTTCACGAGTTAGGACCAATTCTTATATTTTGAAAGCACTCTTCTGGGTCGACATTGACACTGAGAGACGAAAGCTAGGGGAGCGAATGAGATTAGATACCTCAGTAATCCTATCCGTAAACGATGGATCTTAGGTGCTGTGCGTATCGACCTGTGCAGTGCTATAGCTAACGCGTTAAGTATCCCGCCTGGGGAGTACGTTCTATGATGTAAGAGGTTTTAATTACTGAAAACTATATCCTATGCAAATACTAAATATTATATGAACTAGAGATATTCCCGGGCTACGCCCGGGTTGTGTTCCATATATTTTTATTAAATTTAAATTGATTATGCTGGATACTATAAGAAACTCACATTATTAATTGCTAAATTTTGTTAATTTACTAATTTCCTAAATCTTTAATAACATAACATGCATATATACTAATATTTTATTTTAATATTTAATTACAAATGTGACTAATGTTGTTTGGAGCTGTTTTAAAAAAAAAAAAAAATGTTAGTTAGTTATGTACTTATGTTATATATATTGGTCATTCTCAACTTAATTTTATTTCATTTTTTGTTTTGGCTTTTTTTTTCTGTATGATAGTAATACTTTAACTCTGGTTATTCTGAACTGTCTGTGCAGTCTATGTAACAAAAAAAATATGAATTGCATGACTAACATTAGAAATTTGACTGTGTTTGTGCTCATTGCATGTATGTGCTGTTGAGCTGGTATTTTCATATATTGCTAAAGTTTGTAATTAGTTAAGGAATTTGAGATAGTCAAAGGTGGAGATGTGTTTATGTTGGAAACCAAAATAAGCTAATAGTTTGTTGTTGATCCCTCTTTCTTTATGATGTTACATAAGGCAGAAAAGTAGTAAAACAACATCAAAAAGGTTTTGAGTATTAACAAAGTTCAATAATATCAAAACATATACATTACAAACCTACTTTACCTCTTCTTCTTAACTTGCAAGTATCCAAGGTCTACTGGTACCAACACTTTCCCCATAACCAGCTCTAAGATCTCAGCAAGAATTACTAAAGAAACACAAAGGAAGTTACTTGATGGTAACTAACAAAGCAAAAACAAAATGGATCCTTTTCAATTGAAAACCATGTCACCTTGTCATGAGGAAACGTTTTCTCGGAGGACATGCCTTGCAACAATCGGATCCGAGATAACAACACCTGCTTACTTTCTCCTTCGTTGCCCATAACTTCTTTCTTGCTGCTTCAATAAAACTCAGTGTGCGGCGAGGGAGGAGCAATGTGATTCAGAGATATTATACAAAACCAAGCTGAGTATGATCCCATTGCCCAGTGTTGAAAACAGAACTGAACCTTCATAAGAGTTTCTTCTAGAAGAAGAGAGGTAAATGTCGCAGATCAAGTCTTCCATTCTATGTGTTATATACTGGATGCAAAAGCCAAGAAAAGCAATCTCGCTACTTCTTCTTTAGCAGTACCCTCACAATCTGTCTCATATAAACAACTAAAGACCACATAGAGAGACCTTCAGATACATAGAGCAACCCAATACCAGGCGGTAATACCCTCTCAAAACTGCTATCCCGACTTGCAAGCAGTATGGTCAGTGCTATCATCTGCGTTGCAGTTTTCCACTTTCCCAAGCTATTAACAGCAACAGCCTAAGAACATTATTAACCCCATGTATATGGGTAAAGTGAGAAAATTAACAAAATAGCTCAGGGAGAGAATGAATGCATATTAAGGTGATCACTTTTACCTCAGAAAGCTTGCCGTTTTGAGAAGCAGCCCACTCTCTTACTGCTGACATAGCAATCTAGACATGAACAGTATTACCATACTTTAGAAACCAAGAGCTGGTAAGTGAAAATCACAGTAAACTTTCTATACCTTACCTATCTACCAATGATGGCAATTGAAGGTACAGTCACTAACCATGGAGCTGGTCTTAAGACAACGGCGTCCATAGGTTTAGTGCAGAGCAGTATCAATGTTGCTGCTACCATAAGCTGCAGATATCCATAATAACTTCAGTCAGAAAGATAAAAGTCTTGTGATGATGAAGATAAAAAAAAAAGAGACTTTCTCTAACCTTTCCTGCCACTGGATCCAAAAAAGCACCAAACGCAGAGCCTTAACCTCATCTGAAATCAACACAAGATCTCAAACCTTCACCTCATAGAACATTAAAAGGGTATTAAAAAGGAAGTACCTTTAACGTTAACAATGTACGCCACTTGCCTCCATATTTAGATTTTGTGCTCGTTTATTTTTATTTTGACAAGAGTGAAAAAATATTCCCCCATAAGACATTTTCTTCCTTACCTTTGAACTTTCTCTTCTTCTTAGCTCTCCTCCTCTTTCTCTCTTCCTGTGTACGCGCTGACTCTTCCTTTATTTTGCATGTCCCCGGAAATATTTCCTCTGGAGCAAGCATTGCTGCATCTGACACTGCCACTGCCACTGGTGCAACCTATACAAAAATACACATTGAAGAAGACGCTTACTACAATGGTGCTCTTATCTCAATCAAACAGACAAAAACAGTTGATAGTAAACAATAGAATTTACCTCTTCCATTGCTATGGCTGGGACGTTTGTCTGTATAGACATTTCTTCTATTACCTGAGAGTTTTTGAGTATTAAAAAAAAAGACAATTTCGGTGCCTAGCAGGTATGAATAAAGATCATTTATGATCTGAACGAAAAACATATTGGCTTAGGTGTAAAGTAGAAGTGGGAGAGAGAATCCAACTTCAGATACAGTTTCTTGAATAACATGCTTGCCTGATTTCACATTTATAAATAAATAAATAAATAAACAAAAGGGAAACTGGAAGGGAGACGATCCATAGGTAAACAAAACAAAACAAAAAGGCAGAAACAAATTTCAAGTGGGAACCTCTTTCTTTAGTTTGTGGAGAAAGTTTCTGGAGCAAAAGAAGGATTAGACTTTTGAACTTATTCTTCCTGCAAATAGTGGACCAACACACATTTATAAGTTTGGTTCTCTCTCGATAACTTAAAACAAAGCAAATACTTTTATCTTGCGACAACAACAACAGTAGCAGATATTTTTTGGGACGTCATTAATTGTTATCAAAGGAAGAGGTTCCCTACGGTCGCCGATGAAATGAAGGCCTAGAAACGAACAATTAACAAATCAAACAAAAAGAACAAATTGTGAGGATGATGGATACTTACCTTTTTGAAATCGTGTCTGATGTGAGTGGATCGGATAGAGAAACAGAAACTGGAAAAAGAGAGAGAGAGAGAGAGAGAGAGAGAGAGAGAGAGAGAGAGAGCAAAGGGCAATCGATCCGTCAAAGCAAACTCAGAAAAGGGGATTAGGGCTACAGAGTCGGCGATGAGAGACGACGTTATTTTAACAAATTGGTTTTGTTTTGGACCACAGTTTATTAAAACAGGGCTTGCACCAATTTCAACCATTAAAATCTGATGTGGCAGAATGTTTTAATTCTATTGGTGGAATATATTTGCTGATGTGGATAGCTTCAAAAGACTTTGTTAAGAACTTTTAATAGTGTTAGATGCCATTTAATTTTATGATTCAGTTTTTTTTTCTCAAAGAAAACGTATATACAGAATGAATTAGACGTCATAGTGTCATAGTTTAATTAAGACTTAAAGATTTTATAGTTCTCAGACAAATAATACCAATAAACTAAGTTCATTGGTCATATTTGCCTTGTTAAGTTAATCTCATTTGTTATAAGTATAACATGTATTGATTTGTTAGTACATGGATCTGTAGTCAAATGAGTAGGAGCACGAGTTAGATCATAATTTTAAGAATAGAGCTTCACAAAATTTATATTAGTTTATCCCCTATATATTATTTGATGATCATTTAAAAAATTGTAATCTTAAGTTTGTATTAATTAAAAATTACCCTAATCATATGTGGTATATCTCTTTGCCTTCTAAATTCTATTTAACACAATTCTAGAGCATCTTACATATATCATAGTTTAAACATATATTTACTAGAAAGACGTTGATCACATATCTTATTAATATTAAAAATTTATTATTCATTCTTTCCTTAAATAAAAGATACAGAAATACCTAATGTGATTAAAAGATATATGACAATTAATAATTTTAGTAATAAAGATTTGCTAACAATTTTTATACCCTATACCATATTTGTTTAAATATTTGTTTAAATATTTGTTATTAAAATAACTTACACAATTATTTATATAATAAAAGTTTAAATTTTTCGTATATATTGTGTTTTGAATTTTTTAAAACGGGTATAAATTACTAAATTTTAAAATATCTCAAATAAACTTTTTGTGATCAATGGTTTTAATTTTTATTATTATAAGATACAAATAATTAGAAATACATGAGTAAGACGTCTTATTTAATATGTTTATATTAATACATATACATATATAATTTAAATTAAATTACATACCATATAAAATACATACTTAAATTTTGATATTTTCTTTGAAAGATATTGAGAATTTAATATTTTAATTTTAAAATTTGCATTCAATTTTTAATAGTTCAAAATTTTGTTATAAAAATATATTGATAATCATAAAACCTTATAATGAGAAAATTCATTTACTAAACATCCATATTTAAAATATATTATAGATATTGTTAATGTCATTTAATATAATCTATACATTGCATGAATAAAAAACAATGTAAATGTATAAATATATTGTAATTTTCTTTCTCTTTTACATAGATACTCTGTTTTTTAATATATTTTCTATTTTACTCATTTCGTTTCTCCTTTTATTTTTTCACACATTCGTTTTGTTTCTTATGTATCTCTCTTTGCATTATTTTTGTATGTCTTTGTACACCTCTCTCGCTCTCTTTTTCTTTCTCTCTCTCTCTCTCTCTCTCTCTCTCTCTCTCTCTTTTTCTTTCTCTCTCTCTCTTAGTTGATCAAATAATCTCAAAATCTCAAACTTACATTCACTCTCTCACAATCATCTATATTCATTCTCTTACCCTCGTCCTTAATATGATCCTCAATATTTCATTTTAAAACTCTTTCTATCTCTTTTTGGTTGCAAAATTTTCACCAGATTTTGTTAAATCTTCTAAACACTTTGACATATTATTAAGGGCTTTTTGCAAATTTGACTCAAAACTCCAAGTCAAACACAAAACTAACCTCTTCTTTTGACTCATCTTGTTTTTGTCCTATTCACCCCACATCTTCATTTTATTTACGAAAATGCCATTTATATGTTTTTTGAATTTTTTTTCGAAAATGGCATTTTTACTCTCTCAACCTCATCATCTTCAAGTATTT